AAAAAAAAAANACATTTGATCGAAAAAAACAACAACAAGAAATAAATAATTAAATTAAAAAAATAGATATTAAATTTCATTAAAAATATATGCGTGTGTGTGTGCAGTTCGTGTGTTTGTGTGTGTATGTGTGTTGAAATATGAATGTTTGCATGTGTGTGTATGTGTGTTGAAATATGAATGTTTGCATGAGACAAGGGAAGGAAAAAAAAAGAAGAAGAAGACTTTCTTGTTGTTGAAAAAGACGATCATCAAGGAGGATAGATAGATTAGGGGTTTTGAATAGAGGACTAATTAGAGTTTTAATAAGATTATAAAATATTTCGGGGTATAATTGTAATATTGTAAATATTATTAAATACAATTTTGTTGAATGCTTTCAGTTTTTAGAATTAAGTAAGAGATCACTTACTTAATATTGTAGTCTATTTTTAAGGAACACTTAAAATATTAATAAAGTTTAAATTTTAGTTATCAAATAAAATTAATTAATAACTGCCAAATATGTTTAAGTGTTGAATTTGAATTAACAAAAATNTAGATAATTTTGATTAGCTCAAGAGCGGAAAAGTTTTGGAAATATTGTTGGAAAAGAGTATGATCAAAGAAATAATATTGAAAATTCATAGATGAAATAAATTTNATTCAATAGTTCAAGATCATACATCACTTGATCTTCCATGAAGATTGAGAGGATCGTGTTTTATTACCGGACTGAACTGAGAATTATATACTAATGTGTTGTGTTAATTCTGTCGTTGTAACAGCTAGAAAGTTACCGGAGGAATTGCACTTGCGTCGTACTAATTCTAGTTTCACTTGAAAGAATTTCTGTTTGCATATTTAGACTTGTTTTTTATTCCGTTGCTNCGTAAAGTTGTTTAACGAGGGGGTTGGGCCATGGGCACTGGGCCTTGGGTTTGGGTTTGAGTTCGAGCACAGAGCTCTGTCTCTCTCTCTCTCTCTCTCTCTCTCTTTCCGATCACTTCACCGTCATCAGACGGATATATTGTTAACAGTATAAATCAACAATACACATACAAACCCACATACGCGCCCACGCCTATATCGTCGTCGTTCTCATCATCGCGCTCTCTCTCTCTCTCTCCCTGTCGTACCTGCTTTTGGTGAAACATCCCAGATCGGAACCTCTGATATCTTTCCCAGATCCGGCTCAACATATCTCTCTCTCTCTCTCTCTCTCTCTCTTCCTCTCTCTCTCTCTCTTCGGTAAGCTCTCTTCTTCCCTTGCATTCATTCATCTGTATTATATTGAAAATAACTTGTTTCCAGAAATTTCGAAATTTAGATTTTAGGGTTTGAAACCCCAAGGGAGCCGAATTATGAAAACCACGGAATTGGTTTTTTGAGTTTGGGACAGTGTGTATACATGTATTTTTTTGTATATGTGTTTTGGTACTAAATGTATGCTTACTTTTTGTTGAATTGCTGAATTTACATCATGCTGCTGGAAGTCTATTGGAGCATATAGAGTTTTGGTTTTATTACTCTTTGTTGTTTTATATTGCTGTGTTTTCAAGCGAAATTTCAAACTAAAGCTCGTGCTCTGTTTAATGTTTTATATAATCCTTTTAAATGTTTGTATGATGGAATATCATACTCTTAAACTGGCGATCCTTATGCCTGAATACATTATTGAGCCTACTATTTTCTGGTCTCTTTGATGATTTGCTTCTTTGTGGTTTGCCATCTATATTACTATGTATGTACAAGCACACATGTCAATATATCTGTTATTCATCGTATTAGATTGTCTATAGATGCAATGTGTTTGTCTATGTGTGTGTATATTTTAACATAATCACATGATTAAGCTAGTGCCCTGCATGGTGTTAGTGGTTTGGGCAGTATGGGGCTCTAGCATATTGAGCTCACTTTTTTTTTTTNGTTTTCCGTGTGTTGGATAGGAGGCTTTATTAAGAGTGGTTTGCAACCATTGTGGTTAGAACATCATGTTTTTAGTGGGCGGCTTAGGTAGTGGTGAGGGAGTAAGAATCAAAATTTTATTTCGGGAGATAATTTTGATTAGCTCAAGAGCGGAAAAGTTTTGGAAATATTTTTGGAAAAGAGTATGATCAAAGAAATAATATTGAAAATTCATAGATGAAATAAATTTTATTTAAGGCATACAGTGAACCAAAGTGCTTAGGTCTTCTAAGGCTTAGGTGCGAAGCAAGAATTTAAGCTAGACGAACTATATAAAAAACCAAACAAATATTTTAGTTTAGTTACAACTAAACGTCAAGTTCTAACTTCTCAAATACTAAATATTTAAATGCAACTAGAAGCATAAACATTTAAATCGACATGAATACTAATAATATCTCAAATATTTATGATAACAAAAACATTAACATTTAAATTGAAACAATCACCAATAATATATCAACTTATAATGCCAAACAAAAACATAAACATTTAAATAAAAAAATCCCAAATCCTAACATTTGAAGCAAAAAGCCAAAACCAAATGTTAGAAGAGAAGTAAAGACCGGAAGCAAAAGGATAACTCAAGCAAAAGCAAAGATTTGAATTCATCTTAAAAGAAGAAGAAGATGACGAGGCAGAGGAGAACAAGTAGAAGACAACAAGAAGTACGCACACCCAGTCTTTGTAGTCAAGGATCAAAATTTTATTTCGGTGCATTATTTTGATTACCTAAAAATTAGAAACGGTTCAGAAATAAAATGGAAACACATAAAATATTTGAGAATTTATTTTCAAAACATTCAAAAACGTTGGTTGAAACATATATTAACATCTTGAAACACATCAAAATATTCCAAAATACTAGTAGAAACATTTTGAAACACCTCAAAGCATCAGAATTTTAAATTCTTGAAAATAAAAATGTTTTGACCGTTTTGAAATAAAATGCTGCCGCTTGTCTGCGGTGAATCATTTTTTTTTGGAAGAGAATAAAAAAAGATGTTGATCTGTTGAGTCTCAGCCTGAGGTTGGAGATTGTTTTTTGGAAGCAACAATAAATCATTTGTTAAAGAGGAAGAAGAAGAGGAAAACGAGAATAAACATGTGTGAATCTAGTCCTTATGTTGCGACTTTAGCCCTCACGTTGATCCTCTCCATATGCCTCTAATTCTCGATCAATTTTGTTGAAATTTTTTTAGGGTTAGACATATATATATGGATCAAGTGGCTATTTGTTGTTATGGCATATCCATTTTTTTAGCCAATTGATCAAAACCCAACGACCCATAACATATCCACGAAAAAAATTAAAATTTTATTAAAGCGTTTGTTTCTCGCTTCTCTCCTTGGACGCTTCATCTTCGCTTTGTCAAAGCTCGCGTCGTTTGGGACATTCCAAAGGACCTAGGGCCACTTCTCTCCCTGATATGCTTTTAATAAAACTACCTGAAACATTAGTTGAAACATATCAAAACATTTCGAAATACCTCGAAACATTTGAATTTTGATATTTGATTAATGTTTTGTTTCAGTTTTCATGAAATCGTTTTCAGCCATTTCGGTGGAAAAGAAACCAAATTTTGATCCTTAGTGAAGGATAATTTTAGGGATTTGAACGATACAAATTATAACAAAATTTGAATTTGTCAAAAAGAAAAAAGGTGCATATATGACATAAGACGGTATTTGATGATGTAGGGTTTTAAAAAAGGTTAATGTTTGAAAAAAATTGAAGACATTGATTGGTTGGAATAGAATGAGAGATTAAATGAGCATATAAAGCAAGAAAGATGGAATCTTAGGTTAATTTTGAGGTGGTATTTAAGTAGGAAATAAGTTGGAGAGAAAAAAACAAAAGATAAATGGATGAAAGAATGAAATAACAATTTGGAACTTTTTCCATTAAGAATGGAATTGTTTTTTTTTTTTTTCGGTAAGTAAGAATGGGATTGTTGATGTCCTTTCTAAGTAGTATTCATATCATGTTAAAAACTGTATGAAGTTCTCGTAATCTCACACCTCTTGAATCTTGCTGTTTGAAAATAACAAAACCGTAGATGAACCTAAAAATAAATTAAGACCTCAATTGCATCCAATCTTGGTTATAAAAGGTCTTAATTGGGCATATGGGGCTCTTGTTTAATTTCTAATGCAACTTAACCTCTTGAATCTTACTTTTGGCAATTTGCCTTTTTAACACAGTATCGCTTAAGTTGTATTAAATTTATTAGGGAGAATCTGAGATTAATAATATTCTCAAGTTTTTAAGATGTTTGACTCTCTGTCTGAAGGGATTTTGCCGCCTATAGTGAGTCAGACCCACATTTTTTTAGTGTAAAAAGCTAAATAGAAAAGTGACCACACGTTTGATATCATTTCTTTTGCATATTGTATAGATATGGGTTAATCTCTTGCAAAGCATGATACGAAGAAAGGGGTGTTTTAGGGTATTCAATACTAGAACTTTAGGTTATTTTCAAATGTAACTGTTGTGGGAGATTGGAAGGAAGTTCTAGGCTTCTCTTCTTCCTAATTTTCTTGAGTTTCTATTCACAATTTACTGTTCAGGTCATCCAGCACAAATTTCCTCATTAGTGATTAGCCACTGAATACCTGTTGCTTGTACACTTGCATACACCATAAATGTGTATGCATGGCCTCAATTGTAAAGGCTTCTTTTATGAAATTTTATTTCATGGCTACAATTTTTTAATTTTTGATGAAATTTTCCTTCTGTTTTTTCTCTCCAGACTGTGTGAAAATTGCTTTGATGATTTTGGGACAACACTTGAACAATGGCTTCAAGCATGTTGTCTGGAGAGCGAAGGTACTTGATGTTTCTTTTTTGATAAGAATACTTGGTGATTTTTTACTGCTACATTACTTACTACTTTAGCGTTATTGGCAGCCAAGGATCTGGTTGTCACATTGATGAGAAGTATATAAACCTAAAGAAATCAGAGCAGGGGAAAAGTTGCAGTAAGATAGTATCTGTGCTAATGGGTGCCTTATCTTCTGTGTGTTAGTTGCAAGACACATCATAACAAACTATGGAGTTGGAGTATATTTGCCACTTGAATATTAAGAAATTTGAAGATGGTATGGAAGACATTAATAATAGCTTGGAAAGCGGTGGATATGATATTGATACCGGAAAGTAAAACTAGTTGCTCAGATCAATACATTAGAGAGTTATATAGAGCTTGCCTTGTGGTGTCTTTTGGAAGATGCAATTAGTACAATGGCATGTTCCTAGCAAATATCATATTTATGGAGACATTTTATCAGACATTTTTGGAGATTCCTGGGGGTTCTTGTTGGAACTAGAAGTTGCTAGCATTCAATTCATTGCATGTTGAAATTTTAGAAATCATGAATGTAAGGCTGTAATGCATTATTCATGGCAAATGAGAGGGAGATGAGTTATGGGAGGTTGGCAGGGTTGGTACAGTGGCATGGGAGTATTCTCCATTTCTCTGTAGTCTGTGGTAAATGGTAATAGTGTTCTCTCGTTTCATCTGTGTACATGCTTGGGCAAAGTTTTCATGAACATTGTTAAAATTTTCCCTATAATCTGTATGGTTACTTGTGCAACTTAGGTGATGTCTTATTTACTGTATTGTCCTCTTTGTGTCACATGGACTTGGTTTTCAGGGCCAAAGTACCTATCTCAGATCACGACATGAATGGGCGTCGTATCTGTGTTGGAAATGGCGATGGATGGATTGTACATGGCAAAGTCCTTATGCTGCCCATATAGATCCTCAAAAATAGTCCTAGAGAAGATTAAGGTTTAAAAACACCTTTTATATAAATTAAACTTTTACTTTATTATATTACTTATTAGTCCCCGTCCTATTAATGTTTAAAATAGGCGCCACTTAGATTCTATTTTGAGCATACCCCTGCGGTCTTTTGCTATATCTTATGTAGGTTTTTCTCGTTCCTTCTCTTCGATAAGAATAGGGATTTGAAATGATACAAATTCCTCTTCATTCTGTTGTGCTCAGCGAAAGAACTTCCTAAGCATACTTTTTCGGATCCAAACTTCTTTGTTCTTTCTAAGTCTTCTTCTTGCATAGAAGAACGCAACTGTTGCAAAAACCGGGATTTTAGTAGTAGGCGGCATCCCCTCTTAGTTTTGAGTAGGCGGAACCATTCTGTTTTGGTTTTTCTCCACATTCTTACCGGGTGATCCAGGAATTTGCCTATGATTTTTTCAACTGATATTTCGATATAGAAAGATCTCCTTATTTCTTCACCGCGGGTTCTCGCATCATTTTCTTGAAAAGATATTATATCACCGTGGGACACTTTAAAATGATTAATGATTACCATTCCATTATTTACACAAACCCTTCGATGACTTATCGGCTGCCTTGCTTGAGGAATAGTTTCACGAAAATGGAGACGAACCGGAATAACGTCCGATCTTGTTTCTGGATTGAGCAGAAAAGGGATATATGAAGTTCGTTCTGTTCTTCTGTGCGTCTCTGTGATGGGTAAATCTCCATGAAAAAGGGGCAACTTTCGTGTAGTTTGTGATTGGATGTAACTGTTAAGA